ACAGTGCCACAGTCCATGGCTTTGTGCAATTCTCATATATTGTACATGCAATTCTCATATAATGTACATGCAACTTTTTCACTCAGTAGTAAATGCTTGATACAGCCAATGTATTTATAACATCAAAAAGGATGAAAAGAGCTGATAATTCCCCAAGGTTGCTTTTGAATCCGCATTTCCAAACCAAACTAGCAAGCAATGATAACTGTTTATAAAAATGAGGAGAGCAAGGAAAAGAAGATGTGGTTATTTTACTAAGACCTAATGAGGACAGGAACCTATTCTGCATCTCTCGCAATGCTTAAGATGGAAAAGACAGGCCCCAATACCAGGGTAGAGTTAGCAAATACTATATACTATCATTCAGACTTGTTTAGACTTTTTCTTTTGATTCATGCCGTTGCTGCATTTTGAACATCCTCCTGACCACTTTGAGCAGCTGTAACAACACTTGCGGTATTACCAGTAATTTGCAACTTATCAAACATGATTGAACCTTGTTCTTTTGTGTAAATGAAACAGAACTCTCTGGTTAGCTTTCTTTATACTTTGGAAATAGTGCAAAGGAAACCAAAGTTATATTTGCATGCCAGACAATGAAATATAACACACAATGTATACATGCCTTTGACACTGTAATTACTAGCTGTTGTTTAGATTCCATGTATGGTCACTGACTTTGGCGGTGTTGAAATCAGCTGTATCAACATTTAATCAAAGTCATATAGATTTGGGTTGTATATTTTTCTAATGTCAAAATGGAAAAATAAGTTGGAGTGGGAGGAAAATGCTTGCTTGATAGGCTGAAAAAAAAAATCACATGTTTGCAGCCTAATGAGTGTGGCCCTCACTGATATTTTGTCCCTAATGAAACAAACCAGAGCTAGCCATTTTTCAGCTAGAATGTTTTTCCTCTGTGTCTCACCAACTTTTAATTAGTTCATCTGGGAATCAGATGAAACAGATATTTATGCTCTTCCATTCAATGCCCGTTTAATTGACTTGGGTGCTCTTTTGAGCTACAGATTAATTCCTGTATTGTCACAGATAAAACATGTAACAATTTGTGATTTATCTCTTCCAGGATGGAAAGAAATACTGAAACATCATTCACGCTTAATCTTAGATATGCATATACCAGAGGTGGCATTCATCAGGTTCTGACCAATTCTGGAGAACCGGTAATGGAAATTTTGAATAGTTCAGAGAATCGGTAAATACCACCTCTGACTGGCCCCACCTCCATATATTCTCTGCCTCCCGAGTCCCAGTTGATCAGGAGGGAATGGGAATTTTGCAGTAACCTTCCCCTAGAGTGGGGAGGGAATGGAGATTTTACAGTATCCTTCCCCTGGAGTGGGGTGGGAATGGAGATTTTATAGTATCTTCTTTGCCATGCCCATCAAGCTACGCCCACAGAACCTGTAGTAAAAAAATTTGAATCCCACCACTGGCATATACATATTTTATTTCTGTTGAAGGAAGGAGTTTGTAGTCCTCTAAATTGCATATCCATGTATCCTTATCACTGTTCATAATGAATCATGGGAATTTTAGTCAGCAATTTCTAAATACAACACAAAAATCTCCTTTCTTGATCTAATGAAATACTAATGCATAGGTAATAGTCCATTACATTATTTCCTACATAATCTTAAAGGCCAACAATAAAGTGTGCTTACAAAACATTCAGAAACTAAAAATAGGGCAAACTGAGCATATATTTTCTTTCTCAGGACATTTAATGTTGCAATGATTTTATTAAAACTATGCTGATCTTCAAAGAGGCACTTTATGTGTATGTATACAGGTACTCTATATATGTGCATATCTATATATCTCATATGTATATGATACAATCAATCATATCTGATTATTATACTATAGTCTGTATCTGTGGAAGATATCCATCTATAGCAACTGAAATGTCATTCTACATATGTATTCAGGATTGCATAGTTTTATCTAGTATGTGTTTATTTTATTTGCTTATGTGAAATATTTATGTCCATCTCTTAATTTCATCAAAATAATAAAACTTAACCATAAAATGAATCAATCAAAATAATGCAGATTGGCAGCAGCATCAGATAATATGAAAAGGAGACGAAAATAGCAGTACTTTCAAATTTATCTAAATTTCAGCCAAAAGGAAACTTGATCAGCAGAGGGGAAACTTGGAATTATTGGTCAAGATTTCCTGCTTTTTGTAATCATATATCAGATTGCTCTGAAATGTTTTGAGTTTATTTTATTATGAATGGAGTAAATGGATTGCATGCATTCTCTTGCTAAACCTATAGATATATTTGGGAAGATCAGTCTTGATCCAAAGATATTTTGCATATCTACCTACCCACCTACATTTGTGAATAAGGTAAAAGGTAGAATTTAAGAATTGCTATGTGGACTGTTATTTAAATAAACCTTGCCCAACCTGCTGGATATGGTTCAGGAACTGGTCTTGGTACTTGGAGTTATGAAAATGGAAGTTCAGTCAGAGTCAGGGGTGGGTTCTAAAATTCTTTACTACCAGTTCTGTGGGTGTGGCTTATTTTGTGGGCATGGTTTGATGGTCATGTGACAGTTCTTTAGGATTTAGCAGAGGTACTGGTCTCCCAAGCTTTTAACTGCTTGCAGAGCCGTACTGGTCTACCCATTTGTTTTTGGAGCGTTCCAGTCTACCTATTTGCTTTTAGAGCGCACCAGTCTACCCATTTGTTTTTCGAACACACTGGTCTACCACCACACTGCCTTTTATCACTGATCAGCTGTAGGGTAGCCCTTTGAAACCCCATGGCAAGAGTTTAAAAAGTTTTTTTCCTTCTAGCCGATCAGCTGGGATTCGGGAGGCAGCGAATAGATTGGAGTCGGGGCCAGGCAGAGGTGGTATTTACCAGTTCTCCAAACTACTCAAAATTTCCACTACCAGTTCGCAAGAACCGGGGAAAACCAGTAGCAACCCACCACTGGTCAGAGTACTTTAAAGTTTCAAAATATTTTGGGGAAAAAGAAAAGGCATAATAGATGGAATCAGATAAAGTGAAGGGAAACATGAAGACATGAAACCAAGCTGTTTTTCAAGAATTTGAAACTATAGGTTTGTACAAATTATTTGAGAAATATAGATGCATTCCTAGCTATAGGAGAAGAATGAGCCCACAAAATTTGCTAAAATGTATGTGGATTAAGGCCAAGAATTATAACTAATGGTGGAAAATACTATTGATGCCAATGATTAAGGACGTTTCTGACTCTATAAACCTTGTAAAATTTGTCTACCCTCCAATAAGGTCTTTCATCTTTCTTCTTCAGAAGACTTGTAGCAAAATTAAATTGAAATTTAAGAACAGTCCCTCCTGAGACTGGAGGGCTTGGATAATCACCTTCAATGCCATGCAGAGGAATTTGTGGAACATCTGATTTCTGAACTGAAAATCACTGAGTTGAAAATCACTCAAATCTGTTCTCAGTTGGTATATACATTTGGAGCAAATTCATTATAGATACATGACCTTACCTGGTTATGTGGGAACAATGTGATCCTGTTAAACTGATGAAGTGGACAGAGACCTTGATGCTGTCAGTGCAACTACCTATCAGTTAGATCTGTATCCCTTCTGGCTAGTGAAAGCCTCCAGGATAGTAACCTCCAGGTGGGGTCAAGCAGTGATAAATATATCACTGCTGGAGGGGACATTACTGGGACTTTTAAGGAGGCCATGGTCTGCACTTCCTTAAAAAAACTATCCTTAGATCTCACCTCTTTGGACCAGTATTGTCCAGTTTCTCACCTTCCCTTTTTAGGAAAGGTGGTGGAAAAGGTGGTTATCGGGGTGAAATGCTACTGGTTCAGGCCAGTTCGCCTGAACTGGTAGCAACAAATGTGACTGGTTTGCCAAACCGGTAGAAAAAATGCTTTAAAAAGTTTTTAAAAAGTTCCAAAGATGGCGGAGCACAGCTGATCGTCCAAACTTTTTTTTTTCTTTTTTAAGCAGTTTTTTACTACCTATTGGGGGAAGTCCATTTTTGCTTCCAGGAGGCTTTCCTGAAGCTTGATAGGCCAAAAACAGGGTGGATGGGGAGGTCTGTTTTTGCTCCCAGGAGGCTTCCCTGAACTCTGCTAAGCCAAAAACAGGTGGTGGTGGGGGTGCTGCGAAAGAAAGAAAGAAAGATAGAAAAAGAAAGAAAGAAGGAAGGAAGGAAGGAAGGAAGGAAGGAAGGAAGGAAGGAAGGAAAGAGGGAGGGAGGGGGAGGGAGGGAGGGAGGGAGGGAGGGAGGGAAGGAAATAAAAAGGAGAGGGAGGAAGGACCACAAACCTGGCACTAGATACAGCTTCAGAGGATACCTTGAAAGAGCACAGCAATCAATCCAGGGCTGGAAGGGACCTGGAGATCATCTAGTCCAACCTCCTGGTCCAGAAGGACATTTTTAAAGTGAGTTTCTTTTGACTCCCCAGTCACATGACTACATAGCCACGCCCACCCAGTCACATGAACCCCCCCAAGCCATGCCCATCAAGCCACGCCCACAGAGCCAGTAGGAAAAAATTTTAGATTTCACCACTGGTGGTTATGTGGCAACTTCAGAGAATCAGATGAAATGGATTATCCGGACCCCTTCCAGTTGGATTTCAGGCCCAATTATGTGACAGAAAAAGTACTGATCACACATGTCAATGATCTCTACAAAGGGGATATGCAGCCATCCTTGTTCTCCTTGACCTCAACGCAGCTTTTGATACCATCAGTCATAGTATCCCTTTGTGTCAGGTAGGGGACCTGAGAATGGGTAGTGCAGCTTGGGTTTGATTCCTTTCTCCAAATTCAATTCCAGCCCATGGTCACTCCTTTGTAGCATACCTCAGGGCTCAATAATCCTTTTTAATTTCTACATGAAGCCACTGATGTGATCATCTGCCACTACTTTATATATCCATCCTAGATAACTCAAGTATTGTGTTTCTGTCCTTTCGCAGTGCTTGGAGACTCTAGAAGTCTGGATGGAGGGGTTCAGCTAAAGAGGCTTCAGCTGAACCTTGGTAAGATCGACTATGGGTGTATGGGTTTGAGGATCTGGACCAGGGGTGGGTTCTACCTACCTTTACTACCAGTTCACAGCAGGGCCGCGCGTGCATGCACAAAAGAGTTTTGATGAAGTCGGGGTCAGTAGGCGGAGCCTCCTGCCAGTTTTACTACCGGTTCTATAGAACTGGTGTGAACCGGGGGCAACCCACCACTGATCGGGACATTTAACATCTTTAGTTAAATGTTGCACTGTCCCAGACAAACCAATGTACAATGTAGGCAAGCTTGGAGGACAAAGTCACTAATCCCAATTCTACTGTAATGATTTATACAATAACTTAGAATCTATTGATGTTGCCTCTCTATCCTCCAATATTAGAAAACAATTTGATTTAATGGTCATTCTCACTAAATGTAATATAGATAATAAAAAGAGACACATACTTTTGTCTAAGTATGTGACTAAAGCTCTGGCCCTTTATTAATCTGTCACTGAGGTGATGTACATAAAACCAGAAGTTTTGATTGCACTGTCATTATCATCATCCTGAATTGGTTTTTATCACACCCTGTAGACATGTCCTAATATTGAAAATACATCATTGTAGGGACTGGCGGTTGAAGAGCACTCCTTCAACCGGAAGACTAATGTGACTGGCTTTTAATCTTTCTCTTGTTACCAATTTTGCTGGGAAACAAAACCCCATCATTAGGGGTACACTAGAGGTGTACAATTGTAATATGCCTGCAAAGAAAACCTATCTTCATTAGATATGTGGATTCTTTTGACATTTAAAAACATTGTGAAAGTTAAGCATGGTGTTTAGCATCATTTAGCTCCAAAGTTATTGCAAGTTCTTGGATTAGTCAGTCTAGAACCCTGGAAAGAAACTCGAGTACCTCTCAATAATCAGAATTAATTATAATATTACCTGCCTGTCAAAAATTCAGAGGATAATCAGCTGGATACAATGGTATCCAAAGAAATAATCATTGATTTCAAAATGTTCACTTCAATTGAATGTAACCCCTTCCACTTTTTACATGCATGCAATATTTTTTTAAAAATAACGATCTAGTCATATATCTCATTTTGAAGCCTGTGATTATTGCTGTGAATATCCTTGGATAGATAATGTAGTTTAAAAAATACACATAGTCCTTGACTTATGACTACAATTGGGGCCATAATTTACATTGCTAAGCAAGACTGTTATTAAGTGAGCATGCCTAATTTTATGTCCTTTTTGCCATGGTTGTTAAGCCAATAACTGCACTTGTCATTATTAAACAAATCTAGCTTCCTCCATTGACTCTGCTTGTCAGTAACCAGTTGGGAAGGACACGAATGGTGATCACATGACCCCAGGGCATCGCAAATATCATGTCATAAGTACTTTCCATTTGCCAAGTGCCTGAATTTTAATCAAATGATCATGCAGAATGCTGGGAAGGTTATAAGCATGAAGACAGGTTGTAAATCGCTCTTTTTCACTGCTGCTATTATTTGAACAGTCACTAAATGAATGGTTGTAAATTGAGGATTATCTGTAATGCATTATTCTAAAGTTTATGCCTACAAAAATGTCAATATATGTATTGGAAAAATGTATACATTTTTATACATGTATGTAATTATATCTTAAAGTGGAAATGGACAGAAATTATGGGTAAAATATACAAAAATGATACAGAATGGAAAAAGATACACACACCTCATCTTCATATTATAGATTTTATTTTATATACAGAAAGGTGGGTATATAGCTCACCCTATATGTTTTTTTCTCACTATGATACAGTCCCCCAATCCAATCAATGTCAATTCTAGTACAGAGTAGGGAATCAATTTATGTTTCTACTGACTTCTTTAAAATGATCCATTAGAAAATCTACTTTAACTTTTTCAGTTTCCACTAATTTATAGAGCATTGCTAAATGACATTTCCTAATATTATTTTCCTAAATTATACTATGCAAGTCATAGAAATAATGACTTACATTTGGAATTGTAAAAAGGGTAGTGATAGCTAGCTGTTGTTCCTTTTTCTACTATTTTTTACTCTTCTTCCAGTACTAGTGCTATTATGGATTTGCAATTAAAAAGTTGCTGTTTTATTGCTGCTTCATTTCTTTAATGTATACCATTATATGTATACGAAAATGTATACCAAATGAAAATCATTTGAAAATTGCAAAGAACAGCTGTAACTCGTTGAGTCAATCACAAAACAGGATATCTTGAAGTCTGTTTTAAAATTCTCTGTTTGTATGTGCATGCATATATGCGGGTATACACGTACACTCACAGACATATAAGATCTGGGGAATATTGAGTTTCATAACAGGCAAGAATTTTGCAGTAACTATTACTCAAATAGCAGTAACAGATTCTCAATCTTCAAAGAATTTTCAAGTTTTTGTATTATTAAAATGGGAAAATTGGTTGGATCCAGAACTTTTTTGATCTGCCTTAAAAGCTGTGGGCTAGGGAAATGATCTCTATAGCTGTCAAAGTTTATCTTGTACACAGGAGTGACAAAGAAACTCCAGTCTCCCTGTAAACAGAAACATTGAGAAATCTACACTTATGTGGTCTATATTATTAGATCTGTCTCATGCCAACATTCGTTTTTTACCATCTAATCATCACGTAGTAATCATCTCCAACTGTCACTTAGCCAACAAGCAAAACCTCAGGCTTTAAAGAGCAAGCGCTAAACCATAATCTCAGTTGAGAGATTGGACTGCCATAAGAAAGGAGAGCGAAAAGGAGACAGTAAGGCCTATTTCATTCTTCTTCTGAAAAGATAGCTCTTTTGGCCCTTCCCAATTGTAATCCATCCCAAAAAGATTCTTTTATGTCCCCAAACCTTTCTTCATCCCATCTGGTCATGATAAGTGTAGTAATTTTAAGAAGTGGACTTTAATTGCTTCCCGCCCCCTCCTTATCACTATTCAGATTGCCTTCCTATATGTCATATCTCTTGAATTGTTCATTTTAAGCAAAATATCTCATTCTCTGACATTTGTAATTTTCTGCTGAAGGTAAAGAATCAGGCAATTATGATTCCAGTTTGGATTAGATTGCTGTGTAGCAATCTGTGTAGCTGTGTAAGGCACCAGGCTAGAAACCAGGAGACCATGAGTTCCAGTCCTGCCTAAGTACAAAGCCAGCTGGCCAATCACTCCCTCTCAGCTCTAAGAAAGAGGCAATGGCAAACTACTTCTGAACTCTTGCCAAGAGAACTTTAGGGATTTATCCAGGCAGTTGCCAAGAGTCAAATGAAGGCTAGAAAAGAAACATGGCAAGGCAAAAGAAAGAACACACACACAAAAAATCAGCAAATGACAACAAGACCTGCCAACAGCTATCAGCAGGAAAGTTGAATAAAGAGACAGATGGGCTAATTCTACCTGTACAAGACCAAGCCATAAGAACAAATGCACACAAAGCCAGAATTGAGAAGATAGCAACACCAAAAAAATGCATTCTCTAAAAAGAATCTGAAGAATCAGTGGACCAGCTAGTTAGGTACTGCAAGAAGATAGCACATCCACACAACACTTGAACTTAACAATTATTAATAAGTAAAGACAAAAAAAGCCTAAATAGTGGACTTTGCAGTACTTGGACAGAATAGAAGAGAAAGGGGAAAAAAATCACAAAATACAAGGACTTGCAAATAGAAGTATAATGACGGTGGCACAAGAAACCAGAGATAGTGTCAATAATAATGGATGCAATCACAAAACAACTGGCACACCACTTGAACACCACCAGCATTGACCAAATTACCATCACTCACTTCCAAAAGGCAACTTTACTCAGAATACCTTACATCCTGTAACGATATTTTTAACACACCAAACAATGAGATCTGCCTATCCCAGGTTCTTGGGAAGGACTCAAAGGTGGATAAAAATGCCAAATCCAGTCTAAATATCTAGCTGACTTGTGGGCCAACAACAATAATATTAATGTATTCTTCTTGCATAGAATACAGTAATAATAATGGCTGCAATAAACTGAATCATTATATAATTTAGTAGTTTTTGATAACTAACCCAGGATTTCTGTTCTGTATTTATAGGTGACATTTGATATGAATGAAAAGACATAGGGTATGTCTTTTGTGCTTCATAAATTACATATTATTAATTCTAAATTATACCAATCTTACCTGTAAATAGATATTATGCACTTAATAATATTTAGCATGTTGGTATCTCGGTTCTTTTGCATTGATCAGTTGGTGATAGATGAGTTTATTTATTTGCTGTATGTGAAAGTTCGTTCTCTGTATCAAGTTTGTTTAGTCCACTAACTTTGTTAACCTTTGCGTTATTTGGTGTCTTTTTGTAAGTAGCCTGGATGGAAAATAGTTACATCAGGGTTAAGGGTCACAGTCATTATGGGATTTCAAGTTAAAATACACTCTGCTCTTGAGGATCAGAATCTGTTTATGCATAATTATTTTCTTTGTGAGAATTTCTATGAAGAAGATTATTATAATATATAAACCATCTGGGGGAGCTTTAATACGTACCTAGCTGCTTAATGAAATAACAATCCAAACTTTGCCAAGAAACAGCTACATTCCATCAGTCCTCAATATTAATATAGTTATTACTACTTGTGGAAATTCAATTAACTAGAAATGGAAAGAACATTATACATCATGCCAATATATTTATTAAAAGTGTGGGTCTTTTGCAAAATTAAGAGTTTCACAATATATCAAAACAAAGAGCTTATAGTATTGTAACATTGTATGTAGCATCAATTCAGTTTTCAAACAATCATTTGTGTCATGCTATTTCTGTATCATTTTCTTTTTGTCAAAACACCAAATAAAATTTGAAAGTTCCCATTGAATTGTATTTACATCTTTAAAACACTGATTCCTAATCACTAAGCTAAGATTCACAGCACTCAAGAGACATTGAAATCACTGCTTAGAAACAGTATTTGCTGACTTCACCAGGGTAACAGTTTAATCTTTAAAGTAATCAACATTCGCCCTCATCTTGGGGTCTCCTTGACTTTTAAGTTCTCCCTCGTCTTTTTCAGAAGAGGAAAAGAGACTCGGTGCTAGGCGACAGCTATTATTCCCCTCCATGGGATAGTTCACTTTATTCGGACAAGTAATATCATCTTCTATTTACACTCATTTGAAGCAAGTGCACAGGGTCAGCCGCCGTTCCACTCTGATGTTGTCTGTAAAGTAAAAGGGAAAGACATGGCAGCAGAAGTCAGCAGGGTTTTGAAATCAGAATAACCTGGGAAGCAGATACAGCATGCCAATTGTTTTCTTTCATTTGATCCTTTAGGGAAAGAGAAAACACACACGTACACAGCGTCTCGGTCTCAAAGGATTTCTCACATGATGAAGCAGGTTAATGGCAAGGAAACAACATTGGGCATTCTTTTTTTTATCTAACTTCAATCCTTCAGCTCTGTTTTTGACCAATGTTTAATAGTTAAGAATTTTTATAAATATCACATGCAGAAATCTTTGTTAAATTACTGGGGTGGCATGGTGGTTCACCAGTTAAGATGCTGGGTTTGTTGGCTGCAAAGCCTGCAGTCCAGGTTTGAGATCTGAGTGCCAGGGTGAGCTCCTATCCTCGCCGCAGCTACTGCCAACCTAGCAGTTTGAAAGCGAATAAATATGTACCAATTCTGTGGGAAGGTAACAGCACTCTGTGATGTCGTGCTGGCCACACGACTGCAGAAATGTCTTCAGACAGCACTGACTCAATGGCATTGAAATGGAGATGAGTACTGCCCCCTATAGTTGGCCAGGACTAGCGGAGTAAAATCCTTTACCTTTACTATTTATTGCGGAAGTTTAGCTAAAATTAATTATGTTTTCAAAGCAATGAGGACAGTGGAATCTGCAGCAGACCATAATAATGGCAAATTGATAATATGTGTGCTGACATCATCATGTAAATACTGCTATTATGGACTTGTGTTTTATCACCAGAACCTAAAAGATTCTATTTGTATAATTACTCCACCAGACATAACTTGTCATTTACCTCATACTGAGGACACACGAATAAGGAGTTGTCTGTTATAATTCAATATCTACGAAAAATAAATAATATAGCACAATTTACCAAAACTGTACTTGGAGTTTTATTTTGACATTATTATAATCAGAGATTTTTAAGAACTATGTTATCTTTCTTGAAAAACTTTGGATGAATCATGTGCTGCTATATTATGCAACATGAATGCTACCTACATTTTAAAAATAAAAGAAATAACTACAGGATCCAGTGTGAAAAAATCACCCAAAAAAGCAATGGGAAATATTGCTGCCAGGAATTCAGTTCTACTCAAGAAGGTCCATGTTATCATACTATCTGTACTATTTTAATGCTCTAAAAGACTGTCATATAAAACAATGTTCACATTTGAACAATCATGAATTTAATTAATAATTGCAAAGTTAAATCATTTTTTATTAGTGGTCTCATAAGACAATGCTTTGTTAATTTAATCAGACTAGTCTTTACTTGGGTGCATAGTTATCAGTTCATAACATTTAATTTTAATGTGCGTCTTTCAAACTATGTTAACTATTTCCAGGGAACCAATTTTTCTTTCATTCATATTTGTTCTTAAAAATAAGTATTTCCTCAATATTAACTGCTATATAGATAAGCCACACAATTGGCAGCCCCATGATTCATTGAAACAGCAATCCTACACATGATTGTGGGGCCATTGTTTTTGACATATCTGGGGCTTGCTTTAATTAAATATTGATCAAATTATGCTTTAGCAGTTAGCACTTTTATATGTATTTGTCAGATGGATCAAAAGATTTAGATCAAAAGATCTAAATAATCTTTAAAATATTTAAGAGTAAAATTATTCCATATATTATGGGTAGACCAAACTTTTGCCTTATAGGGAAAAGTTTCATACATGCAAGACTCTTATACTCTCACTATGAAACACACTACACTAGAAATATTTCGTCATTAATTCAGCTTCCAAATCTCAAACCAACCTAGTGATCTTTATACTAAAATAACATGAATCCAACCCTAAAATGAGATACCATTGTTTATTATTTACACTAAAATTACATGATAAGGATGGCAATATTTTGCTCAAAGGTGATATGTACTCTTGACTTAATTTCCTGTAATTTTCAGCAAATGATTAATTCTAACCTAGGGTATTCTTGTTAGACTCCACACTACAGTTAAAACCAAACTGTGATAACATTAAGCTGGCTCACCATTTGTAGGATCCAAATCCACTTAGTCCAGAAAGGTGGGTGATTCTAAAACTTTCATTGAGCAATTTAGGATTTAAATATTTAATTTTGAGAATAATATGCTTCTTTTTGCTGCACAGAATCTATTTTAATTTTGGGGACTTTATCTATTGGGTTTATTGCTCTTTTACTAAATATGTGAAGTATATTTGATTTTTAGACCAATAATATAGAGCACAGAAGCAATTTTTATAACACTCTTTCAATCTGGCATGATATGTAAACCATTGTATAATAGGTTGTCACACAACGGTGGAAATTTCTCCCAAAACAAATTTTATGTTAATAACATTTGATTTAACAACCCCATTATTGTCTTACTAGTTTTTTAAAAAAAACAGTAACAATCTATGAAGCCAAATCAGTAGTGATTTGCTGGGTTACAACACAGAAACACTTTGCCATAAAACACTACAGTGCTTTAAGATTTATTTTCATTCCTATTGTGGGTGAAAAGTTCACAGAGCAGAGAATTTTATTCAGATGAAAATTATCATGGAAACATAATCTGATATAAACCAAACATTGACCTGTTTGTCAAGTGGAGAAAAAGGAAATATAAAGGTGCTTCCCAATGCATAATAAGTTTATTTTTCAAAGTATCCACCAGCTCCCCAAACCTGCTGCTTTTCAGATGTCTTTAACTTCCATTTCCATCAGTCTATTGGCCGGTTGCCCTGGGATAATAGAAGTTGAAATCTTGATGGCCTGGTGGCTCAGCAGACTAAGCATTGTGATTAACACCAGCTGTCTGCAATTACTGGAAGTTCGAATCTCACCAGGCTCAAGGTTGACTCAGCCTTCCATCCTTTCAAAGACAGGTGAAATGAGGACCCAGATTGTGGGGGCAATAAACTGACTTTGTATAAATATACAAAAGTATGAAGGCTATTGCTTAAGGCATTGTAAGCCGCCCTGAGTCTCCAGAGAAGGGCGGCATATAAATCAATTTAAAAAAAAAAAAGTTAGGCAAGGCAGACTTAAATCAGCAAGTTGAAACACATTTATTTATTTACTAATTTATTTAGAGAGCCAGTTTAGTGTAATGGTCACGGCATCAGGTTAGAAACAGATGTTGTGAGTTCTAGTGCTGTTTTAGTCATAAAACCATCCAGCTGAGTTTGGGCCAGTCACTCCCTCTCAGCCCTAGGAAGTAAGCAATGGCAAACTACTTTCTAAAATGTTGCCAAGAAAATTGCAGGGACTTGATCAGGAATCAAAAACTGACTCAAACGTGCCTGTACATACACACACACAAAGAGAGGGAGGGGAAGAAGGGAGGGAAGGGAGGAAGAGAGAGAGAGAGAGAGAGAGAGGGAGGGAGAAAAAGAGAGTTTTTTATTCAGTTTACATAGCTGATCATCTCACATATGTGACTCTAGGGTCTTAGAGTCTTAATACATCATGAACAATGAACAAAATACAAATGAAAGCAACATAGGTAAAGGTAAAGGTTCCCTTCGCACATTTGTGCTAGTCATTCCCAACTCTAGGAGGCCATGCTCATTGCCGTTTCAAAGCCGAAGAGCCAGTGCTGTCAGAAGATGTCTCCATGGTCATGTGGCTGGTGTGACTAAATGCCAAGGGTGCGTGGAACGCTGTTATCGTCCCACTAAAGGTGGTCCCTATTTTTCTACTTGCATTTTTTACGTGCTTTTGAACTGCTAGGTTGGCAGAAGCTGGGACAAGTAATGGGAGCTCACCCCATTACGTGGTACTAGGGATTTGAACCACTGAACTTCCGACCTTTCAATTGACAAACTCAGCATCTTAGCCACTGAGCCACTGCATCCCTTGAAAGCAACATAAAACTGTGTGTGTGTGTGTGTGTGTGTGTGTTTTCTATTGAAGCAACCTGGTCTACCCAAATATGGGAAGGAGCATACTGCTTCCTTTTCGCCTTTCAGCCCCAATCCAGAAGCCCTCAGGCAGTCACATTCACGACAAACTAATATGCAAGCAAGCTAAGGTTCAAATCCCAGAAGGGTATGGCTAGCTGATGATAGCTAAATAGCTTGAAATAGATCTATACTAGTCTCCCTTTATTTCTTTGTCAGTAAATATAAATTTAACACACACACACACACAACACAAAGACCTAGATTGAGTACAGACCATTCATAATTTTCAGTACAACTTTTGAGTGTACTGTACACCACAATCCTCAATAGCTCTCTTTGCCAAAAAATACATTAATATTCCTCTAGGCACAGGTCTGGGTTCAAAAGTCAACATCCTGCAAGAAATATAAAGAGTTCAACTCAATTCCTCAGTGACTTCTGATACTGTCAATCACAAATATTTTCTGGATCCTTTATATGACTCAAGATGGGGGCATAGGATTACAGTGTTCTTGCTTTTGCTTGAAGTGGTAACCTCAGAAAGCAGCACTGGGTCATTGTACCTCTCCAGCCTGGCAACTATGCTGTAGAGTATCATAAAGTCCTACTTTATCTTCAGTGCTATTAACAATTTTTAAATCTACCTGGCCAGTTGTTATCAACACCCTGAGATCACTGTACTACAGCAGATGAATCAAGAGAGGCTGTGCATCTTCTGAACCTGAGTCTGCATGCAATGATGAGCTAAATGAGGCCCTAAACAGTTTGGAAACAGGATAATTGATAGATTGTCTCACTATCACACACCTGGAAGGTCACTGTGACCATAGAAGGGCTCTTGCTATATATGTTGCATTGGGATACTCATGGATGGTCCTTTTCTGGAAAAGTCCCTTTGAGGCCTTTTCTTGAAACCACCAAGGCCTTTCCTGCATGAAAATTGGATTCTCCTTTGCTTTTGTTTCTTTCTCTGCCTCATTTGAATGAATAGGTTTTTGGTTTTTATTTATTTTTATGTGATTTAAAAACAACAACCAAGCAATAATGTCACATTTGGGGTTGTGGTAGCAATTCCAAAAAGTGGGGTGGGATATTATTTTAAAGAAGAGAATGTTCCATATTTTTAGGTCATAAATGTCAACCTTGCATAATAAAACTGAGTTATATTTCTTTTCAAAGTCAATTTCTTTCTTCCCCAGTTCTTTGTATTTTACTTACAGTCAGATTGCAAACACCATCAAAAGTTACATTGAAGCAAAGGAAATAGCACAAGATAAATGTCTCAGAATAAAACTTGCTACTGGAAAATGTAATCTAAAAGTTTCCACATGGTTGTAAAACCCTTCCCTTAAAAAAGCGCTACATCATGAAATGAACACTAACAGATTTGTCTCATATTAAATCTTCTATGAATTTTTTATAAATATGTCACTTTGTATGAATCTACGGCATCTGTTGCCTTGATCTACTGCCTGGTCCTTTTTGTTTAATTGAGGTTTTTGGTGGGGTGGCTTTTTTTTTTTTTTTTGGTAAAGCAATGTTATATTTTGCCGTTTTTTAAAAAAATCAATATTATTACGTCTTTTAAAAATTGTCAGATCTTTAGCAGATAATTTGGCAGTCACAGTCATGAGAACCATTTCATAATTACAAAATATTTTTTTCTTGACATTACTGAAAAAAGATTCTATAGCTTTTCAAAAATGTGAGAATCTGAACATGGCTTATGCTAAATTAATGAAGGAACCTCAGTTTCCATGTGCAAACCCCATCTAAATGTAGGAAAACTCCACAGAAGTAAGAGTGGAACCATACTTGCCTCAGTCAAATCAGATACTCACATTTGTGAGCGAAACCTGTTTCTCAGTAACTCTTGAGGTTACAAATGGATTGTAATTTAAGAAATTGCAAGAGGAGCAGGAAGCCAGGCTGTCATCATACACGTTCATTAAACGCTCAGACTGGAGAAGACAAAATTAAATGGTGAAATGTACAATTTGTCAAGATGTCAATACTGCACTCCTAATTTATTAGGCTAAATGCTTCCAAGTTTCATATACAACAATTCTAACTTGTTGAACCAATCCAGGCAATCAAGTAATGATGTAGTCTTTTTTTCAGAATGGTTCTACCTCAAATCCTTTTAATATATCAAAACCTCCATCAACCACTTGACTCTTTATACACTGATGTGTTGACTAATACATATCCAGTACTGTATATTTTAATCAGTGAATGGAAAATGAATTTGATGGCCAACAGTACTGGGGTTCTTCACATAGTAATTCATGTTTCTGCAAGAGTTAAAGTGAACTTTCTCTTTTTTCTTTTCTGCCCCTTGCATTGTATCATTTAGTTTGAAAAGAGTCTGTTTACTTCCAAAACCCTGTCCTCCTGGCCCTTTCCTTACAACGTGCTAATTACAATTCTTTGGTATGCCTTTTTTGCTGGCTGCATCTGTGTTTACATATCTTCTGTGATCAGTCAGAGGCCCACTCTGGGGCCTTTCAGCTCCTTTCAAAACTCGTCCTCCAGGAGTTTAACCAAACTCAGCATTGCTAAGATCAGTTACTCCCTGGAGCCCTCCCTGGTCAATTTCTAGCATCCACTGACATTTTGACATAAATCGGCAGGCAAATGCTCCCTAGTCTAGAGATATGAAATTTGGAAAAGTGTGAATTCAAACAACTGTTGATAAATTGCTCTATAAGGCCTTCACCATTAATTTCTGTCAGTAGACAGTAAAATGGCAATGGCTGTTCAACATGGTTCCAAAAACAACATTTTCTTCTCTGGAGTAGAACACAGAACACTGACAAATTGGAATTCATCTTGTTGAGTTGGGGGATATCTAAAATTACACAGATGGTGTTGAACAAAGTTTGTGTTCTCTTTCCAATTTAAACAGGATTGTGCCCTTTAGTCAGATTTCAAGGGTTTTTGTTGGCCTTTTTCTGGGCATCCAAAGAAAGTCGTTATCCAACATAGAATCTCATAAAGTAATATGCCCTGGTTGGCCAATGTTAGTGCCCTGATTGGTGCCTCTGAAAACACCATGGACCCTGGAGGCAAGCCTTCTCAATGGCAGCCTAGGCCTCTGGAACAAGGTCTCTGGAACACACTCAGAGACAAGGTGGATCAAATTAACTAATGTTTCAGAGGCTCTTAGTATTTGATGTTTTAGAAGTTTCTGTATTGGTTGGCTTTAAAATATTATTCAAAATTTGTAATTTATAATATTGCATATACACCTCAAACCATACTAGTAAAATTAAAGATGTGCTATTGCCACAAGAGGAAAAGCTACCCATATATAATGAATATTATGGGAGACTAAAGTTCAATATTTGTTTTAAATAAAGAAATGGAGTTAGAATTTTAAACAGCATCCAAAGATATGGTAGGAAGAGTCTCAAGTTCTTTCATTTTGCTAAATTAATATTTTGAGACTATCTTGCTATTATTTTAGATTGTGCAAGCTACTCCCCCTTACAATAGCAGCCATTTTGTGAAAACACTCCTGACATACTCCGAAATTCCAAACACATCTACCAGCCCCACAAAGATTGCCAACTGCAGGATAAATTTTCACTTCCATTTCATTAGTGGCAATACAAAATTTGATAGATATTCTGAGCTCAGCAATAATAAAAGCAGATGTGGTAAAGTATTCAGCATTCTCAAAGCACTTAAGACATTTTGTATTATAACTGTTGCTACAACAAAGAAATGGTAAGTTGGAAAAGCACAGAAAGGGGAAACAAAAATAGTCAGAATGATGAAACAGTTCCTTATAGGAGGAAAAGCAGCAATGGCTGAGCTTAGGGAAAAGAAAAATAAAGAATTGGACAAATTAAAGGCGTAGACAGAGGGTGTAGAAAATTTTATTCTCCCTTCTCCCATAATACCAAAATTCAGGAAGATCACATTTGTCTGATGGAGCATCAAGAGAAAAATGTTTCTTAAAGCATAAACTATGTAAACTTTAATGAGAAGAGTAGGAAGATTCGAGGCACACTGAGACCACCAGACTTCCCCATTGTGAGTGACTACCAGCTATTTATTTATAAAATTTATAGACTGCTCCTCTTACTTCAAAGTAACTCTGAGAGGCTTCAGTTTCTGAAATTCAGTAAGAGGCATTGTCATCTTTTATTCAACTTTAGCTCTCCTCTGAAAATATGTCTTCCACTTGTCTTTTCTTGTTCCAAATTGATTTTTTAAAAATGTTCTTTAATATTCTGTTTCACATTTTACTCAATGAACTAAGTTGGAATATGGCACAAAAATGATGTAAATAAATAAAGTATTGTGGATGTTGAAGCCAGGATTATGAAGTCACCTATTTGGCTTCCATACCTGAGGCAAGCATGGAACTCAAGTCTCCACTGCAGTAAACTGGCTCCAGTTGTCTAAGGTCAGTAAAGTGAATATTATTTGATTAAATAGCAATAGCAATAGCAATTAGACTTATATACTGCTCCATAGCATTTTACAGCACTCTTGGAGAGTTTATAAAAATAGAAAACAATTTTGGACACAGATTCAAAATGAGATGATAAATAAATACAGTATTTTTGTTTTACAAAAATAAGAGAAGTATCTAGAACACATGGATGAGAGGCATAGCTTTTATTTTGTTCAAGGAAATGGCCACAGCTCAACAGTTTGTCTACACTAAGTAAAATCTGAGCGCAAGGTACCAATTCAGATGTCATATAGTGTCCTGGATAGCTCAGAGGAACAATCATTGAAAGGCAATCACTTTTACCTAGCACAGATTCTTTCCAAATTGTCTACCAAAATGGTGTGTGTGTGTGTGTGGGGAGGGAATTAAGTAGATTATTTCTCCATGTTTCTTTAACAGAAAGAAAATTTATCAAAGACAGGAATCGTTCTTAGTTATGAGAGTAGAACTGCCATTGAGAAAGTTGAAAAGAGTTCCCTCATGATATTGTTTCTTGGAATATAATTTAAACGGGAAGCTAGGAAAACTTCCAACAGCTACAAGGATGCATAATGAAAAACAGGACATTTGCACATACATACCACACTCCAGTCATAGGAATTTCCCTTTAGTACTCTTTCTTTCACTTCCAAAAGCAAATTCTTTTTTATCCAATAGGTGGGAACTGGCGGGGGGGGGGGAATGCATGAGATTGTCTTAGCTTTCATTCATTTAAATCTTCAGATGGTGCTTCAGAAACAGACCATGCAGAACCTTTTGGGGTTGCAGCTTTTTTTGTCCACTGAAAGTAATCTTAGCCACTTCGCCACCTTGCTCATTAGTGCTTATGGCATTGGAGTGATTGTGAAATCATCTATGGTCTTTGTCAGAAACCCCAAGTTCCCATTCTCTGCAAAGAAGTAGCAGTCAACTGTCTTTCATCTGCAGAGTCAGGGGTGATATCCAACAGGTTCTGACAGGTTCTGTAGAACCAGTAGTGGAAATTTTGAGTAGTTTGGAGAACCGGTAGCAGAAATTTTGAGTAGTTTGGAGAACCGGCAAATGCCACCTCTGGCTGGCCCCAGAGTGGGGTAGGAATGGAGATTTTTCAATATTCTTCCCCCAGCAGTGGGGAGGGAATGGGGATTTTGCAATATCCTTCCCCTGCCATGCCCACCAAGCCACGCCCACCAAGCCATATCACGCTCACCAAGCCACGCCCACAGAACCAGTAGTAAAAAAAATTGGATTTCACCACTGTGCAGAGTATAAAAGGGATACTACTTTCTTCCACAAATGAAACAGCAGAGAATTATAACTCCTTAGCATCTCTTACATGAAGAAAACATTAATGCACAGGAAAACAAATTTGACAATGTTCCCCAATTCATTATGCTCAGTAGTGAAATAAAATTTCAATTAATGGGAAAGACTCTGCTGAGGCATTAGGAAGATTATTATGGATCCATGGTGTAGGAAGAGATAACAGAGCAATCTTCTCTCTTTTGATGATGTTGTCACTACATAATGGAAATTAAAAAGCAGAATCCTAGTTCATAAGACAACACCTTGTTTATAGCCTATTGTTTAGGATTGCCACTAGGGAAAAAGAACAAAACAAGGAAAACTTTCATTTTTAGCAGAAACTATATTTAAAAAGGCAGAAGTGTCCTTAAGTTTTAAGAGCCTCCAGTGACAAAAATGCAGACTGATTCTTTTGATGGAAAATTGCACGTTTGCAGATACAATAGATTTCCATCTGAGTCTCATGAAATGTTATTTTCTTGCCATTAGCATGCTTGCTGAATAAAGTTGCCTAAAAGTTCCCCCGTACCATCACCATAGTTGAAATGATTTTACATTTGTATTAGACAACCAGCTTTAAGTAGTGATTAAGGAACTAGACTAAAAACCACGAGACCATAAATTCTAGTCCCACCATGAGCACAAAGTCACTGGGTGACCTTGGTCCAGTCTCTTTCTCTCAGCCATTGGAAACAAGCAATGACAAACTACTTCTGAAACTTTTTCAAGAAATCTGCAGAGATTAGTCTAGGTAGTCTTCAAGAATCACTGGCTTGAAGTCCTCACCCCTCAAAAGGGGGCTGTTACTTATAACAGCCTATCTAAATTTAATAGCCTTGGATGTCCTGACTTCCCCATCCAGATGAGATTATGAAAGCAACATATCTGGAAGATACCATGCTCATGAAGAGTATAAAACCTTTGTCTCATACTCCTTAGCACTTTGAATTGACTTGGAATCATCAATGCGCGTACGAGATATACAGTATAAGCTATATATTATGAATGCAGGCAAATATATGTGTCCCAGGATAATGTTGCAGGAACCACTTTGGGTCTGTCACCGGGACCAGAGGTTTTGTATTCTGAGCTTTTGGACTCGTCCTGGAGCCCATCTTCAGGGAACTTATCTCCAGCAATGGTCCGAAAGCTTAAAATACAAAACCTCTGATCCCAGTGACCGACCCAGATTGGATCCTGGAAGATACCTATTGCCCAAATAATAGGGCTTTTTTTTTTTTTTTTTTTTTTGCTAAGGAGGCCACTTTTATGAACTCTATTTTAGTCTAAAATATTTTGGAGACGGGAAAACCTGTAATGGAGATATTGGCACACATCTATTGCCTCCTCTGTAATCAGGCCAAGCTCAATAAATAATTTCTGGGAATTATTTTAAAGAAATCACATGATGGAACTCTTGTTATTTTTAAAATTGGCAAAGATTAAAGAAATGGAGACTGAAAACAGCCAGCTTGAGCTACAGATAATCATGCTTTACAATCTGAAGAAAAAGAATAATATGACAGCCCAACTGCACACCTACCAAAATAGCTCAATTGCAATATTTCACCTACTGTTTATCCTAGAGGAGGGGAAGGGTATGTAGAAAGACAATAAATTTTTCAGATTTCTTCAAGCTGCCAAAGACATTATTTTGCTAGCATATTCTCTGAGTATATGTGAACACACGGATCACATGAACTGTATGACTTTAGCAAAGCAGTCCAAGCACTTCTCGAAATCATGGAGTCATATGCCATTTGGTCAATAGTTCTTAATACAATTATGAAACTGGGACCGATAAGGGACTTTTAAGACAATGATTTTAAGTACGTAGTTAATGATTGGTTCACAGCAGCAACATTTAATTTATAGCAAATTAAAGCACTCACCCACCCTACAGAATATTATCTACGCTGTCTGGCAGCCAATCACTAAGGATTTAGAAATCCTGCTTGGTTCAGCCTCCTTATTAAAAAGAATGAAGTTGTGACCTGCTCCATGTAGAACTTATGGTCTACTTCTTCATTCATACATTTCCTCTAAATTTGATGCATAGATATCTAATAACTAATGTTAATTAATATAAAGACAAAGGAAAAAATAAAGAGAAAGCTAAAACGAAAAAAAGTTGCTTTTGATCTTCTTTACAACAGTTATAAATAAAATTACAATTATATATAGTTATAAAGGAATTATAAATTCCTCTGTGGTTACATAATTTTGTTCTTTCTATTGCTTACTCTGTGGAATTGTCAAAACCATAAATCATAAGTTCAATTTTTCTGTTTTACACAAAAAAATCTATAAGATGTTTCTAGCCTGCAGTAAATAAATAGCTGCCTTTTCTCTGATCAAAGAAATCAATTTTGTTGACTTCACCAAATATTCCTCTATTGTGGGTAGTTTGAGTCTTTCCACTTTTCTACATACAATAATCTCACTGCAGTTACCGTGTACAAAAAAAGAATTCCATACCTTTTTTTCAACTGTTTATTCATCTTTAAAATATCTTGAATCAATATGTTTCTTTGAATCAAAAAAATGTAGCTTTTTAACATATTCACCGAACATGATAAAATATCCCTACTTGTTCACATTTTCAACGTAAGTGCCTTACACAATTTTCCAGCAAAATGTACCAACAGTATATCAACTTTTTAAAAAATCATTTAAGATTATAATCATATAAATTTCAATCCTTTAAACTACATATTTTCCCATTGCTCCATTGTATAACATACCTTTTAGCCCACATTACTTCCCTTCTTCTTATTAATTTCAATATACATTTTAGCAATTATATGTTCATTATTTGTATACAATTCTATTTAAAATTCAGTCTTACAATGTTCAGAACCATAAACTATTTTGTCTCCTTTAAATGTTTTTAATAACTATAAGTAAGAAAACTATTGACAACTATATCCTTTTACTACAGATTATTCACTTGATTTTATTTTATATTCCCTTTGACAAAATTCTAATATCTCATTATAAGTTAGCCATTTATGTTTGTCTACTTCTCATCTGTAAAATTCTTCTTGTGCTAGGGCCACAGAGATGGTTTTGGGGATAACCGTGGGTTTGAATCTATTTCATATTCTAAATGTGGCATATCTAAACATAATTATTTTTAAAATCCACATTAACCTTGACTTTATCATATCACAAATATCCATGCCACTCAAATTTCAGGTTGTATTATTACTAACTCAATAGCCTTCTGTTTCTCAGAAGTATGCACTTTTTCACCCAAATCAAATAGCAAGCTGCAAAATACAATTTCAACTCAGGAAGGCCATTCATCTTCTTTCCTTTGCATCTTGTAATACCTTATATTTAACTCATGGGTTTTTTGCCCTGCCAAATTTAGATAGATCATTCTGCCACTATTAAATGATGCATCAGTTGTCAAAAGATGTATTATCAGATATCTGCAGGTTCTTTCAGGAAAACAAGAATAGATCAGCAATGTAGTATAAAACTGTAATCTGCATATAGAACACATTTGTTCACTTTTCCTATGTATGTACTATATTTTAGTAACATATTCTATAAATGAAACACAGTACAGCTATATGAAGAATATACTGCATACTTGATTTCTCAAGGCTTTGAGAGATCAATACTTTAGTATTAATCAGAAAAAAACTGATCTTTCTACCAAGGTTTGTACAGCAACATGGGTTACCTCTATTCCAAGTGTTGGATATTTCTATTAGCAATACTACCTTTTTCCATAAATTAACAGCATATGAGCTGACGTTTTTCTGATATTTTGAAAGCTTTCATGAATATTTGAATCAGATGGGTTTAATTTAAAAGCACATTCCATGAAAAAAAAACTGTCCAACCATGATTAACATTAACCAAACATAATACGTTGTACAAATTCATCTGCTAGATCTCTGATCCAGGCAGCAATTGTCATTGGTGCTGGCTTTTCTTACTGTTAAATACAGGAGACTACCTTTCTTATAAAATAGGCAAAATAGTGATTCTATATTTTATTTCTTGGCTTTGGAAGAACAAGAGACTTCATTTTTAAATGAAAGCTGAAAATCTGAACATTAAGGGTCGGCAGGAGAGCAATTGATTTCCTTTTCACTGAATATCCTCATGATTCTTTTTCTTTTAGCTTAATATCCTCCTAAAAGGAATAATTCCACTGGCTATCCACCAAAAGATGCAGGAGATCCCAAACAAGCAGAGTTCACAGCAGCCACCTGTTTCATAGTTCAAAAGGGCTACAGAAAACAGCAGGCAGGCAGCAAATCAGAGTCTGAGATCTAAAACAGCAGTCAAAAGGTAGCAGTCACTTGGCAGAATCTTCACACTAAGATAAAGAATCAAATATTAAAGAACAATAGTTCACTGAGATTAGAAACATAGCAGCATAGAAGGGTATTTAGCTTGGTATTACAGGTAGTCCTCAATTTATAACTAGTCACTTAGAGATCATTCAAAGTTACAATGGAGTCCAAAAAAGTTACAATACAGATCTGAAGTTCTGACATCAATTGTCCTGCCAGTCACCTAACTGGACTTTGGGCACTTATCAATTGACCTGCTTTTGCAACTCTTTGCAGTATCCTATAGTTATATGACAATTGCTTTTTGCTGCATCTTGGTACATCTTGTTTTTGGTAGAAAATGGCCCTTGTGGATAATGTCCACAGATTTACTTAATGTCAGCTGCAAATATTATACAATTGGGTCAAAGACTACAATTATACTATCTATACTTAACTGACTGAAGATCTCCAGGGTATGGGACAGCTGGACAGAAGATGGAAATATTTTTAGCCAATTGGATAATATAATAGCTGGTATGTTACCACTGAATATCTATCAGTCTTGCAGTACAAATGGAATACTGGTGACAGCCTGTAAATTTATAGGCATGCATTATGCATATATAACCATGCACATATGCCAGGCTCATGTGGATGTCCTAGTTAAAGAAAGATATCACCAATTCTCTTTGCTGGTCACAGACTTTCAGAATTAAAACCAACTATTAAAGATTGACATTGTTATATTGCTGGAATGCATCTATAAAGGGGAAAAATGATATATTACCTCTCTTCCTTCAAGTACTGGCCAAATGATTAAGGGTTGCCCTCAGTTTTGTGGTTAATATCTGAACATCTCCAGATGTAACATTAATGGGAAATATTAAGTGCTGACATGGCCAAGTTAAGGCTGCAGTGAGTTATGTGTCTGTGAAGGAAACATGCATTTAGGAGCAATTATGATTAAGAGGAGAAAGGAACATATATTACATATGATTTTATCTATTTGAAAGATATGTGTTGTCTCAATTGTCCATTCTTTGTTGGGTTACATTACTAGTACCACTTTTTCCTCTCAAATCCATGCTTTTTGTTATAAAGGATAACTCATAAGCCAGGTTGCTTGTTTGCTTCCATTGATACATTGCTCCAATCTAACAGGACTAGAAAAGACATATAATAACCTTGTCCTTGACTACCCTTCCTCAAAACCATTTGGAAGGAATATCAGGCTTTATAATTTATTTGGCTGTGAGGAAGATTATTGGCTAAATTATACCCAACAATTTTCAGCTGATCATTTTTAACTTGCCAAGCACCTACCTCTGCCTCCTTCAATTTTATTTGCATAGTATTTTAAGCTGACTGAATAAAAATGTTAGCAGCTGAATGTACCCCACATGCTATACATTGTTATTTTGTAAAATTCGTTGGTGTTTTTGTAATTTATTGTGTTTCATGAATGTATTTAGCTTATTTTGTGACACAGTGCTCTATTAAAGTGTAAACCAAGAAAGTGGTAAAGAATGAAGTAACCAAGCTAACCTTTCTGTCATGGGAGATTAATATCTCATGCAACAGAAACACTGAGTTAGTTGAATTGGCCAACTAATCATAAGGGGTTATTTTTCATTTCAAACAGTTCTGAGTCTACAGCAATCCTTCCTAATTAGTCTTGTTGTATAAACTGGTAACTTAAAGATTTAATTTTCAGACTTTCGTGACAGAGATGAAGTTCTAGTTGTTCTCTTTTTGGTTACTTTACTTTTAATCCCTGGGCCCACTACCAAGGGGATATGTGCAAAGTGATAATAATGTAGAGGGAATAGGCCTGACCTCTCTATGATGGTCGTGACTCTAAATTACTTTAAGTGTTCTCATGACATACTGACCCCAGTTACAATCTAGTTAAGCCCATGTTGCAAATTCTTTTATTTTAAGCAGGAAAAAAGGTCACTAGAAAAATTATGCTAACCAAACATCTTCATTTAAATAGTGAAACCCAACATTTAAGCCACTTTCAACCATTAGGGTCCATGTACATAAGCAAGCTAACAACAAGGGTTTAGTTACATTGGCTATCCCCATCTAAGCATCCTGGGGGAATTCTTCCTATATTCCTACATTTAAAGGGGATGCAGAAAAAGGCAGGCTGTATGTAAGCAGTCCCTAATTTATAAGTGGTACATGTGATCAAGTGTCTGCATGAGGGAGAATCTTTTTCTTCTCAAAGATAACTCAGCAGAGCAATTTTTCTACTTTAAATTTATATTTTGTAGGCTTTTCTATATAAGATATTTGTTTATGTCACTGATGCGGGGGGCTGAAATATTTAGCCCATCGTATTTTGTTGTGGTGGTTTGTTAAGCTATGTTTGTTACACATAGCTTAACATACCTATTTTGGTTGCATAAATAAAAATTGTGGTGCCAAAAAAGTGGGCTTTTGCCAAGTTTAGTGGTGTGATCTTTGTCATATGGATTTCAGAGAAGTACAAGAATGGTGCCATATTTCACATGTCCTGTGTATCATGGCTGTCCAATCTTTATTTGCAGAAAGATAGAAATAAAGGGATGCTAAAATATTTGCCCCAGATAGGGAATTACACATTAATACCAGTTTTCTCTATATAACTGTTTCTTGTACTGATATAATTTCTCAGTCAGAACAGAAGTCAGTACAACCTCCTTGGATGTTTTCCCTCAAGTTCTACCAGTGCCTGTCTTTGACCTAACAAAGGGAGAGTGAATAACACTGAATGAATCATTTATTTAAAGAATATTAGAAATACCATATATAGCCATCTACTGTAATAGGATAGTTATGGTACAGGACTGACATCAGGGAGTCACAATTTCAAATACGTCCTTAGTCCCAGAGGCTCACTAAATAACTTTGGATCCCTAAGTAATCTCTCAGCTACTAAGAATATTTGGTAGTTTCTTGTGGAGGAAAAATGGATGAAAAGACCACTGTGCACACAACACTGAATGAAATCTAAAAGAATAAATTTATCTCAAACAAAATACTTTTCTGTATTTTGAAAAATCCCTGTATATATTGAGGATTCCATGCTCTTCACCAAAATAATTTGAGTCCATTGATCATATTTTCTCCTCCTCTTCCTCCTCGTCCTCGTCCTCCTCCTCTTCCTCCTCCTTCTCCTCCTCCTCCTCCTCCTCCTCCTTCTTCTTCTTCTTCTTCTTCTTCTTCTTCTTCTTCTTCTTCTTCTTCTTCTTCTTCTTCTTCTTCTTCTTCTTCTCTCCTCCTCCTCCTCCTCCTCCTCCTCCTTCCTCTTCCTCTTCCTCCTCTTCCTCCTCCTCCTCTCTCCTCTTCTTCTTCTTCTTTTCTTCTTCTTTTCTTCTTCTTCTTCTTCTTCTTCTTCTTCTTCTTCTTCTTCTTCTTTTTTCTTCCTCTTCCTCCTCCTCCTCCTCCCCTCCTCTTCCTCCTCCTCTTCCTCTTCCTACTCCTACTGCTACTCTGCCTCACCCAAAATTGCTTTCTCGGTTTGCTGAAATAAATCCAGATGTTCTATTAATTCTCTATTATGTCATACCAGGATCTTGTGCATGTGGGGGGGGGAGTCACAGAGACTCTCCACAGAGAGTCAGAAGGCCAAATGACAGCCACAATCATGCAATCAAATCCTCAGTCTTTTTTTTATATCTGTGACAAAGAGAACTGAAAAACCTGAAAATTTGTGGTCTCCTTTATGTCACTTTGCTTGGTTCTAATAAAGGAATAACAATACTGTAGTCTCAATTAAGCAACATTTTTGTATCTACCACTTAATTCATGACCAATAATATACTCAATGTTCCCTATTTTTCATTTTCCCATTCACCCCATAACTAATGCCAACCCTTAAGTTTACTTTAATCATATTGTTAATCTATGTTGCTACCTCTTTATTTTGTTAAAGAAAAAATTGTTCTTTAGTTTTACGTTAATCATGCATTAAAATCAGAATAGCATAAAAGGATCTCACAGTCCTGCACAACTAGATTTCAATAATTGCCTAATCAGAGCCTGGAGAAGTATATGGGGGTGGTTTCTTTCTTAACCTCAAGTAGTTAACTTCTGCTGTTTGGAACAAAGAGCTCTTTAATGTTTTCTCCCTCACATGTTTGTTTAGTTCTGCCAGCATTTGCTCTTTCTCCCATTCCATACCCACTTCAAAGCTAGGTCTTTGTAATAATCTTTCCTTTTAGCAAGATTACCACTGTTCATGCAACTCAGTATGCCTGTATTGTTTTGATTAGCATAGAAGGCGGCATCTTCTGTCACAACAGAAGAATTTGTGTTATAATCATGTCTTATTTCAGAGCTTGAATATAACAAAACAGCAAAACAAGGAAAATTGAAAGGGGAATGGATGGAAGATCCTATCTGACATAAACACAGACCTTATTTCAAATATATCTCTAAATAAATGGATAAGTTATCCCAGGTCAGCCCACCTATTCTGTAGATTCCTTCATCTCTATCAGAAAACATTTTATATTTAGGAAAGTTTTATTAATTAATTTATCCTTTTTCTCTTGCTTTTTAAAAAACAAAATTTAAAAGCAACAATATATTTGGTAAGAATCTTAGAAATCATCATATCACATCCTTTTTTGATCCTGCTCTATTAGAGGATGCCATGTTGATGTTAATACAAAAGATTATTAGGGTATTCCCTCTGTTTCTTATTTATCTCATGTTTATGAACAAACAACACAGAATCGGTGATATGTATATCACTCATTAAGTGGTAATACCCCACTGTTTTTGTTTTGTTTCACTTTTGTCTCATTGAAAAAAGTATTAAAGTTCTTTGTGTAATAATTGGGTCCATGCCATGCAGTGGTGAAATTGTCCGCGGGTTGCCACTGGTTTGCTGCCCGTGCATGCACAGTGCATGCATGCACATGTTTAAATGCATGCTGTGCATGTGCATGTGTGGTGTGCACCAATAGCATGGTGTGTGCGCATGTGCAGTGCACACCAAATGCATGCTTCACGTGAAAAAAGGAGCTGTTTGAAGGTAAGCAGAACAGCAAGAGAGGAACAGCTGTGCTGCGTGATTTAGATTCGTTAGAAAGCAGGATTTCTTGGTTTCTAGCTAATATAAACACCGTGGGACAGCTGATCGTCAGAAATACTGGTTCGGATGAACCGGTAGCTTTTTTTTACTACTGGTTCACCCGAACTGGTAGCTTTTATTACTACCAATTCACCCGAATCAGTACAAACTGGTAGCATTTCACTCCTCACGTCATGATAAATAAAGTTGGAGGGTGTTCTTATCATCCCTGTCCATTTCAGTTTTGGAAGTCTCTCCCTCTTCCTCTCCCTCTCCCTCTCCCTTCCTCCCCTTCTCTCTCACTCTGTATGTTTATGTTTATGTGACCAGTGGGGAAGGTAGAAATGGAAAACTATAGAGACAGAGAGCCTAAAAAGCCTAATTTTCACATGGCCTGTCTAGGATTTTATATCCTAATTACACTTACAAAAGGAAAAGATTGATGAACTATGGCTTATTGGTTCTCCCAGTTTTCTTTTTCATCCAATTAAATATGTTGTGTGAGCAGAGCCATACTGTGTGATAATTACATTAAACTTTAAATATTAATAAAACATTTATTTATTTAGTAGTTCAGAGTATGATCAAGTTGTGTGTTCTTGGTTTACACTAAGTCTTTACTATGTGCAGGATTTGCAAAGACAATTCAATGACTACATTTCTGAGAAATGTATTCTGTTTAACTATTCCATTGAATAACAACACATTTTCTTCCAAGCCAGCTTGATCCATTTTTGAAGGAGTTAGGTTTATCATAAATATGCTTTATTCATGCTATGGGTGTTGACTCTTATTACTTAAGAGTTTCTATATATTTTTTTCTGGCTATATTCTATCAACTACCTACTTACAGAATTGTGAAAGTGCACAGTAGATACATTTTAACACTGCTGAAAGATAATGTTCAGTTATTGCAAAATCTGAAGTAGAAGAAAAATAAGAGATGAATTCAACACAGAGACAGAAACCAAATAAGACATTTTGTGATCTGGTGAAGAAGAATTGCAGAATTGTCTAGCTCAATCCATTACCTTTCAGATTGCCAATGACTCACTACTTCATAAAAATTTACAGTCTAGAGATATTATGGATATTTGCATTTATAGTTCAATGTGATTAAGAGTCAGTAGCAACTGACTGAAGCTTAAACCTGTCAAAAAGATTATCATGGATACTTAATATGTATCTCTTGGGTATTCAAGGAAACATACACTAGGATTTTTTAAGAATAGCCAGATTGTGCTTCAATGAGACTCCTGTTTTGAACACTCCATAAGGAGCATAGTTTAACTATCGTAAACAATTCATATTTCTGAAATCTCTACTGCTTCTGAAAATTAACATTTCTTTCTTAGTAGAAGGATGTAAGGTATGTTTTTGGCATACTAGTGAACTTCAGGCTGCCATTTTCTGATGTAGTGATTGCGAACCAAGCAGAATCCATGATAGGAAAGTCTTATAGAACCTGTGAAATAAGAAGTTTCAAACATATTGATAACATGATTTTACTGTAATGAAATTGTCATTGAAAAATTCTCATTGATTTTAGAAAGCAAATCAAATAAACACAAATGAAAAACATAAACATTGAACTGAGTGAATGGGGTTTTTTTTTCTTCGAACTATTTATTAATGATCTTCTAATTTTGAAATTTTAATTTTACTCCTAGATAATTTTCTGATTTGGACCTTTTCTTTTACAAAATTGACCAGTGCTCTAGCAATAATTCATGAGATTTTTATATATACGCTATTTTTAATTTTAATTCTAATATGTTCAACTTTTATTAGCTTGATTTAAAAAAACCTTTCTGCTTTTACCATATTAAAAACAGGAGAAAGGAATAAAAGAGTGACTGGAAATGGATGATACATTCTTAAGCAGTGTGTCTCGATTTTACCATTCTGAATAACTGCAAATATACTACCCTCCTAGATGTTTAATTTTGTAATTTATGGCAGAAATTCAAAAATAATTTCAGCTGCCATTCTGCCACCAAGTAACACGTATTTCTTGGACTTATTCAAATATTACTCTTCCTCAGTGAAATCACAGTTCATCTAGCTGTCTCTGTGACCATCTTTCCTGGAGGAAGAATACTAGAGCAGCACATAAAGAATAGAGACTCCTTGAAGTCCTATAAAGATTGCTGAAAGGCATGGTTTCTCTTATTCTTATCCAATCAATGAAAGACAAATACGTAGAAAAGGCGAAAAAAGACCATTTACTTACTGTAACAGCAGGAAATCAAGCAAAGAAAATAAACAGGACGTGAATTCTTGAGCATTTAACCTGCTAGTCAGACAGTTTTTTTTTCTCTCCTATAGTTTCAAATCTGTGGGCATTTGTGCACTGGTAAAAATGGCAAAGAGGAGGCAGAGGAACTGAACGCATGTGAGATCGGTGGAACTCCCACTGCTAAAAATGCAGCTGTACAAACATAGCCCCAGCTTTGTTAAAGTAGGGCAGGCAAGAGAAGCAGAAGCTGTTGAGTTGAGCTGACCTATTAAAGCCCTCGCAAAGACTGTACTTGAGCAGATGCCAGCAGCTATGTGCAAATGCTTTAAAGTCAGCCAATAAGCATACATTTCCTCCCTTAACTTTTTTTTTTTTTTAGAAAGGAACAGAAAGAGTGGGGGTGGAAAAGGAAAAAGGAAGGGAATGTCAATGTTAGCTAGACAATTTCTAAAGTTAATATATATCGGTGCTCGAAATGCCTCAGTGGCAATCATTTGACCACTTGCCGGTGCAATGGGAGGAAAGGAGAGGAGGGAAAAGGAGTAACTACAATAACTCAGGAAGTCTCTTAGTGAGGTGTAAAGGTTATACAATAAATTAAATAGTTAGAGGGAGGGTGTAGAATAGCTTTCAAAGATGGTGCTTGGAAAGATTCAGCTATGTTGGGCAAAACAGGTGAGCTTGAGGGTTGGGTTAAAAGGGCAGGAGTACTAAGGTTTACAAATAATTTCATTTCTAAATACACAACCACATACTACAAATCAAGGGCCCCATCCACTTGTTCCTATAGGCATCGCTATGTCTTCCTTTCCTTCTCACTTCTCCGCTAAATCAATTGAGCAAACAAGTAAATGCAACTACTGTGCTGGTTCTCAAAAAGGCTTTGTTCCCTCAAGAAAACAACTATTTTTCCCTATCACATTCTCATGACACTTTTGAACTTCCTTTGATGGTGCAAGAATAATGTTACCATTTCTCTGTTTCATATTTCAATATCATTGCTCAGCTTCCCTGGCTTCTTCTGAGTCCAGCTCTAAAGCAGGGGAAATGATAGGAATACCCTAATTATATCAATTGAACATTGAGAAGTCAGATAAACTGCAATCTTAACCTGAAGGGAGATAGATTAGAAGCCAGATACCAATAAATCTCAGTCGCCTCATCATTAATGGGGATTTTGAGACCAATTTTATCCTTTTTTCAATGAATAAATAAATTTTGATGCACAACTAGTGAGTTAAAAATGGAAGGTAGTCATTGGAACAACTATTTGGATTTGCTTCCTGGATGCTCAATAGATATGATTTTCTACCATGGGATAGTGATCTTCATTACATGCAAGGGTGCATGAACATCCTCTGAACATTAGCTATTTCTGGAATTTCAGAGCTGCCACCAGAATACCCTCTTAAAAGATCTTTCCCAGTTCCCTTCCCTTCCGTCCCCGCCCCCATCTCTTTTCTAAACATTTCTGAACTGTATGTGACCTCTTTTAAACTTAGTCCCAGAACATCTAAATGCATAGTGGAGTTACAGCTTAGAAAGCAGAGTAATACATTAGAAAACAAAAGAAGCTCAAATAATGGCACATGCAACTTACCCTGTTTAAAATTAAAATCAGGTGACTCAGAGCAACTAAAACAAAACACATGGATCAGGGTAGGAAAATATAGAGTAAAACATGCCATTCTTGGTACTTGCACTCTTTCTTGCACTCTACAACAAGCCTTTTAAATATATGATGGTAATTTCCCATCTGAATTTATGAAACTAAGAACAAAGGGAGTAACATTACTGCTGCAAATGATCACAATCCATGAATTACAGAAAAATACTAATCTCCCTCAGACCCAGTTACTGCTAAAGTCAAAAGAGAAGAAATTTAAATATGTGTTCTGAGAAATATTGTGTCAAACGAAGGCAGATCTGGCAGCTGTCTGCAGAAGTAGGGTCACTTGTAGTAACTGTAAAAAATAAAAGTTACTGAAGAACTGAGTACTAATAAAATCCAATCCCCAATAGAGATGAACATAGAACCAAGGTTACCCTAGTTGTGCTTACAAAATCTATTTTTCATAATCAGATCAAAGATACAGGATATGTTACAGTAGAATATGTGGTTGCTTCTATAGATCTGTTCAAACCTTTGATAAATGATTATCATCAAATAGCCTGATTAGATATTTTAATTAGGTCATATTTTCTACATTCCTCAAATCTAGGAAGAACTTTAATAAATAAACTATTCCACAAACAATATAGTCAATTACATGGTGGCTGGGATTTTTGGAGTTAAAATTCAACACATTTAGAGACATCAGGTTAGGGAAGATAGTCAGAATGAAATCCTAGTTTGGACTAGGTATTCTGTGATAATCCCAGTAGCACCTTGTAACACTGTTTAAAATATTCTATACCAATTCAATTTAAGGTTCAGACAAAACTTTTATATCAATTTTTATTTAGGCTGTAATCTGCAGTCAATTTTCCACTAAAACTTTTCCCTATTTATCCTATATTGTGATACTAGAGTTATTTTTTAAAAAGTTGTTACGGTGTAAAAAAATGTATTAATATCTAAAGGTTTTATATATAACAATTCAAATTATTGTTTTATTTATTTGAATTGTATTAGTTTGATTTAGTTAAATATTGAATTAACCCTTTCAGTTTAAATAAAATATAGTAATCCTTTCATTTTATAATGTAAAGAGTCAGCTTTCTTTGGGTTTGCTATTCTTATGCTCTTCCCACAAATACTGCTTTTCTTAATCAATGAAGCAAAATCAGGAAGCAATCATGTTTACAGAAATCATGAAGAACTTATTGAAGTGCTATAAAACAACATGTAGTGAGGTGATTGTGTTAAAAATGTATTAACTTTTCCCCCCCTCAAGGGTCAAGTTTCATAAAAGGAGCAATGTTTTTCTTGAGGAACTTTAGCTTACTTGAAGTGTTTGAAGTTCTGCCTGCGACCCATGTCCTGTCTGCACTGTTAATCTCCTGTCTACTTTGATGTTTCCCTATGGTTAGGCTTGGGCTACCTGAGAGTATTCGAAATTTTAATGAAAAGATGACAATTTAAACAATACTTTTTCTTGGTAATAGAGTTTGACTCTGATAGTATTGTACAATCTAGCAATTTGGTAACTGGGTCAACAATATCATCTGCATGCATATGAATTTAATACATTTGTGGATATATGCATGCATGAATGAATCAATAGCTTTTATATATCCAGTTCATACAAAACAGCCTTCCCCAAACTAATGTTTTCTAGATATGTAGAACCTATATTCTTCAAACAGTATGAACAGGATATCTCTCTTCCTCTGATGTCCAATGAATAAGATGTACAAATTTATAAAATGTATATTTATATATTTTATATTGATTTATATGGAGGCCAGGAAAGTAATTAAGCACACTTTAATTAACACACTTGTGAATGGTGTGTTTGGGAGCCACTTGTGGCAGCTGGCTGGGATGGTGTGTATTAGATAGCATCTTTCTTTCTTTCTTTCTTTCTTTCTTTCTTTCTTTCTTTCTTTCTTCTTTTTCTTTTTAGCAAACACTGTATTTTAATTCCTGACCAGAGTTGCATTGGTGAAATAGCAGTCACATAAATAAACCACAAACAAACTAATAATGATTCTTTAATACTTCAGAAGATTAGCATCCAACTTTGAGTAGATTATTTTAACCCTTTGACTAGCAGTTTCTTTCCTTTAATGGGTTTAATGCCTTCTAAGCCTGCAAAGTCTATTTGAAAGCAAAACAGTTTTCAACATAGAGTTGAAACATGAATTCCTCAGATACAGATCCAGTCAGACAAAGTTCACAAATCAAGTTCATATACAGAATTTCATTTCTTAGAAAAAGAAGCTGACATAATGTAATGTACAATAATACAAAAAAGAGTTCAAGCGCACTATGGGAATATTGGCAAGTCTGTTGCAATCTGGGCTCAGCCTCACATTAGATGCTCTAGTAAAAATATCTGAAGCATTGAAAAATGTCATTTAATTGGTTCCATATTATATCAGTTAGACTAAGGTTAAGGACGTCTACATCAGTGGTGGTTTCTAACCGGCTTTACTACTGGTTCTCTTTGTGCATGCGCTTTGCACACAATTGCCTCTTCAGTCATGCGCTTTACATGCTCGTCACGTGCAAACTTGCACTCCGCACAAGCACGTTACAAATCTGCCCAGCTGAGGTGCGGCAATCCACTCTGCCGTACCTCTCAGCTGGGCTAAAAAAGAAGAAATAAAAGGTAGGAATACTGTGGGGGTGGGCGGCAGGGCCCAGCTCCCGAAGAAAGAGAACCGGTTCGGTGACGTAATATCATCACTGCTACCGGCTCAGTCGAACCGGGCCGAACTGGGAGGAATCCACCACTGGTCTACATCACACAACAGAAAACAAGACAAGACACAATGGATGGAAACTGATCAAAGAGAGAAGTGACCTAGAACTAAGGAGAAATTTCCTAACAGTGAAAACAATTAACCAGTGGAACAGCTTGCCTTCAGAAGTTGTGAGTGCTCTATCAATGGAGGCTTTTAAGAAGAGATTGAGAAGCCACTTGTCTGAAATGGTGTAGGGTCTCCTGCTTGAGCAGTGGATTGAACTAGAAGACCTCCAAGATCCCTTCCAACTCTGTTATTTTTTTAAGGGGGTACATAGCTCTGGTACTAAGGATATTATAGGGGAAAATAGATTGATGGTGTCAAAATCAATATGAAAGAAATTATAGCTTTTTCATAATAAATTTTGCTGATTTAGAGAAAAAGCATCAATCAGAATTGTAATACTTTTAAATACGCAAATCATGTTTTTAAAGAACTATCTTTTCTCCCCCAAATGAAATATTATTTTAAACAATTTGTTTATAATCTTGACATAAATTTTATAGACATAGACTATTTTGACCATCATCCTTAGCTCATCATTATGTCAACTTGTGTCAACAGTTGACACAAAATCATTTGTGTCAACTGCCAGTTTGATCTAGTGTAGAGATGTCAAATTTGCACCGTCACGGTGTCGTCACTTAATGTATCAGGACTTTTTTCCCCTTTGCTAAACCAGGTGTGGGCATGGCCAGCGCATGATACATCTGGCCCGAAGGCCGTGAGTTTGACAACCCTGATCTAGTGGAAAAGGTGCTAGGCTAGAAATCAGGAGATCTAGCCTTGCCTTAGTCATGAAAGCTGG